TTTAGCGTGTATCTGCTGCTCCGCACACGCCGTGCTTTCGCATTCTGCAGTTGGAATTACGTTGGAACACGTGTTCCAAGAACATCATCCGCACGGTCGCATCCGACACCGATCTGTGCTCGCTCTTTACGCGAATCCGTTCGCGGTTCTTCCAAGGTAGCCGTGGTATTGATTCGGGGGTGAAAGAGAAACAAGTTTCGGCGAATAATCGGGGAGTTAGCGCGAAGCTCCGGGGGTCCGATGCGACCATAAATTTGGACGTTTGCGGAGAATTATCGGGACGAGTGGAATTTCGTCGCGTGAAATGAGCGAAATGGGCGAAATAGGTAAAATGGTAATGATGGCTGACAAGGTATGATTAAGCGAATTTAGTACTCCAGATCGCGTGACTTCTGTATTAGTATCGCGCATTGAAATCGACCGATAGTAGCAGAAATGGCACGTTTCATTGGATAACGAGTAGGAGGATTTTGTTACGTGTAATAACGAAGTAAACGAATTTTAAATTCCAAATCGCGTGACATTTGTGTCGTTCTCAGTGACTCGGATCACTGATAACGCTGGCTTGTTACGTTAACTGCCATATTGGTCACCTGTAACCGTAATTTATTTTCTCAGTGGGACCATGGTGGTTCAAAATGTTTAAACTGATATCCTCGACTAAATAATTAAATTAATGTACATATTAATAAATAAACAAATAAAATAAAATGGCACGAAAATGAGCTACAATAAAAAGTCCATTTTGGTCCCCAACGTTTTCAAAAAATTACTACAACGAACAGGACAACTGTATCAGAAGAATAATGGTAACAATGGTCCGGAATAAACGAATCAAACGAATAAGAGATTCACGTGACTTTTCTTATCGCTCTCTAACGTAAGAATGGTACGATTTACAATAGTCTCTAATAAAAAGTCCATTTTGGTCCCCAACGTTTCCAAAAAATTACTACAACGAACAGGACAACTGTATCAGAAGAATAATGGTAACAATGGTCCGGAATAAACGAATCAAACGAATAGGAGATTCACGTGACTTTTCTTATCGCTCTCTAACGTAAGAATGGTACAATCTACAATAGGCTATAATAAAAGTTTCATTTTGGTCTCCAAGGTTTTCAAAAAATTATTGCAACGAATAGGGCAACTCCATTAGAAAAATAATGGTAACAATGGTCCAAACTAAACGAATCGGAGAGTCACGTGACTTTCTTATAGCTCTCTAACGTACGAATAGTACGATCTATAACAGGTTATAATAAAAGATCCATTTTGGTCCCCAACGTTTCTAAAAAATTATTGTAACGATTAGGACAACTCTATCAAAAGAATATTGATAAAAATGGTCCAGAATAAACGAATCAAATAAATCAGAAATTCACGTGACTTTTCTATCAATCTCTAGCGTAATAATAGTACGACCTAAAATAGGCTATAATAAAAGTTCCATTTTGGTCCCCAATGTTTCCAAAAAATTACTGTAACGATTAGGACAACTCTATCAGAAAAATAATGGTAAAAATGGCCCGGAATAAACGAATCAAACGAATCAAAAATTCAGGCGACTTTTCCACCGTTCTCTAACGTAAGAATCCGAAAGCAAGGGATCGAAATTGGGTCTAGTCTATATCCAGCACTGGCCGAACCAAAGGCCAAGTGGAAGCTAATTTCGACATAGTCTATTTCCGAAAGCGAGGTTCATCGGAGCACCAGAGAGCGATATTCGCGTTTCGGAACCGCGAGTCGATCCAAAAGGGGCTCATAATTTCTCCCACTTTTTCTCGTTTATTGCCGCCTTGAACTAGGCCACCGGTGCGTTCGATCCGCCCTTAAAATCCACTATATCTGCCGGCGGTACGCGGCCAACTTTTCCAGCCTGCGCGTAACTTCCAAACCTGATAACCCCCGCGCGCGTGAAAACATCGGAAAATTGGTTTACTTTTCAGCAGGCAGAAGCGTTGCAGTCCACCGGAAGTTACCGCCACGCAAATTGCTCCGAATAACCGGAAACGGAGCCTAAACGACGCGTCGCGCAGCGAATTTCGCTCGAATTGAGCTTGAAAATTTCACCTGATTTTTTAATATTCTTCCCCGCGAGAGTGAAAAATATACGATGCAATTATAAAATGGCCACCTCGCTTATTTTCACTCGGCAAGTATCTCCGTTAGCATGCTTCAAATTAGTACGCGCGATCCGATGTATTATACATGCATAACGGGTGAGCTCGTTAGAAACGGATTTTAATTTTTTCGATGCTACTTTGACGCATGAAAATTTCCGAATCTAGCTGTTCTTTAATTTATCCCCTGCATACAAGTTCCCCTCGATAGTTTCCGTAACACTGAACCTATCACGACCTGTCAATTGACAGATAGATGAAGAAAATGGAAGAAACAAAGATATTGGAAAATTTGCGATATTTATATTAAAAGGAAAATCGAGAAACGAAATGACAGCACCGCAAACGTTGAATACGAAATTTTTAATCAAATATCTAGAAGTGTTTATTCAGGCCGTGGTAGGTTCTCTGAATATTGGTTTCGTGGGTGTGGGCGAAGTTGAACGAGTGAAACTCATTTGTCCTATAATTGTGCAATATGTGATATAAATATATGACCGAGTGTTTGTCTAGTGTGAATGATGTTTGAACAAATGTTTAGAAGAATGTGCCAGAATGAAACAGTTGTCTCAGAAGCGTCAAAGAGTGGACACGTAAATATAATCAATATGTAGAGTGAATGAGAGAGAAGCAACTTCTAAAAAGAGTGCACCTATTTACCATTCAAATAGACTATTATTTAAATATTTTATCTTAAATATACTTTGTGTGATAGTCGCTAAAGAGGTCCTAGGTATTATCTAGTTCATTTTATCCACAAGTTTAGTGTTAACCCTTTTCACTCGAGAGGCGCCACTCAGTCGCCATTTCATCACATTCTAAAGATCGATGTTAATTAATATATGAAATATTCATTTTATCCACAAGTTTAGTGTTAACCCTTTTCACTCGAGAGGCGCCACTCAGTCGCCATTTAATCACATTCTAAAGATCGATGTTAATTAATATATGAAATCTAAAATTACTCAACGATGCGTGGAATGTCGAGGTAAAATAATTCCACGTCTTAATTTGCATTTTCTTATTTATCGTTTTAAAAAAATCCTAGATTTTATGGCAGAAAGTGTTCGAATCACTAGTTTTCTGTAACGAAAGAATTGCCGAGTGCAAAGGGTTAATACTATGCCGTCTGGTGGAACCACATTGGTGTCATGCGAAAACATGACATATCGAGCAAATGTCAGTGACACCACGTTGGCATCATGGGCAAATGGTAAATCGAATGACCAAACAAAAGAATCCCCATTAGAAGTGCGGACGGCATAGTGTTAAGATGCAATTTGAAGTCATTCGGTTGCTTATAAGAATTTTGACGCTAACGATGTACTGTGCGTTCGAGGAAAGAAGACCCAGTGTTTACATCCTCAGAGTAGATTAACTCTACTGACACTCTCCTGATCAAAGGCAGTGACCGTTAATAATTTTGGGTTTTGTATATTTCGTTCTTGACTCGTTCTTTGTTGATCGAGGAAGATATAGTGCGTTCGAGGAAAGGAAACACAGCGTGTTTACATCCTCACGGCTGATTGACTTCACTGACACTCTCCTGATAACAAGCAGTGACTGCTATTGGCTGAAAACGGTAACTGATGACCTTCGTCACCATCTTCGGTCAATAACGGTCACTGCCTATGATGAGCGGAGTATTAGCAGAGTTAATCAGCCGTGAAGATGTAAACACGCTGAGCCTTCTTTCCTCGAACGCGCTATATCCTCCTCGATGAACAAAGAACGAGTCAAGAACGAAATATGCAAAACCCAAAATTACTATATCCCATTTTCATCTATAAATGGATTCTCGTCGCGTTCATGTGCATGGCGAATCGCGCGATTATTTTGGAATAACCAGTGACGTAATTGAGTCCGCGAGGAGGGCATAGGGACAGGCGTTGGTGGAAAAACGGGATCGAAAGCTCGAAACGAAATTCGCTGTTTCCCCGTCCTCGTGCCGCTGAATTTCAAATAACCCGCCCCCCGACGAAAAAAAGCACGGATCTTTCGCCGTGGCCAATTCATTTAAATGCAAATGTAAACTTCGAGGGTGATAAAACAACTGTCGCGCGTTATAGCGCGGAAGAAGGCCTTTTTATTTGCCCTCGTAAACCGGTCCGAGCGATCGCTTCCCGACGGAAGAATTCCGCCGGAAATGGGCAGCCATAACGACCGGTCCTCCGCGGCCATTATCTCGTTATGCATTCCGATCGAATCGCCGCCGATCTGATCGATGGGACAAAGTTAGGCGAACACGGTCGTCTCGACGATAGCGTGAAATCAAATCGCGAGAGGGATGAAAGTTGCGCGGCCCGGAAGTCGCGGGTTCGGTTAATAGGGGATCCGAAAAATGGGATCGCGAGGGCTCGAGTTAACGAAGAGAAACTTGCGAAAACGGATAACGGGGAAGTTGAAAAACGGAATCCTTAGTTTCACTCGACGCGACGGGAAAGTTTCAGCGGAAACTCGGGTTAAATTCGTCGAACGCATCGCGCGAGAACCGTTCATCTTCGTCCTCGAGATCGCTCGATATCCTTCTTCCTCTTTTTCCCTGCCACCCTTCCCTCGCTTTTTCTCTCGATTCCGACATTTTTTCCACGACACGTTTTTCCCACGATTTATCCGCGCGTGTACGTATATGTAGGCGAGGCATCGCGCGATTTATGTATCGTTCGCGCACTTTTGTGGACCGATGTAAATGGCCGGCAGGTGCGGGTATTGATCGAAGCCTATCAGACGAGGTAATTTCGTGGTCAGTCTGCGCGAAATTTATTCGCAGTTCCGGTCCGTCCACGGCGTAATAACGGCGAAATTTTCATTTCTACCGGCTCCTGGCAACGATAAAGAGCGGATTCCGGTGCAATGTGTCGTGCAAATGTAGCTTACCTTCTGGTAGTCGATGGCCAGCAGGAGGTATTTCCGGTCGGCCGAGAGCTGATGATCGAAGCTCGATACCAGCGTCTGTGAAATTGCGAGAAGGAAATAATTATCGTGAAAGAAATCGTTGGAAACGAGGCTAATTATCTTCGAGGGACCAGCGTCCGTCTCGGAGCTGGCAAAGCGGAAGGAAAACACGTTGTACTCACGTTGTTACTCGAGTACTCCAGGATCTTCCTCGGCTTCCTCGATATGACGTGATAGATCAGGAGATTTCCAGTTTCATCCCGATACAGTATCTCGTTTCCTGCAACAGAGACGGCCACGTGTATTTCTCCCGCGATCACCGGCCAGAGATACGCGAGCTTTTGTTGCGGGAAAAAAATTACCCGATAAAGAGCGACCCGATAAAATGAAATTACTTTTATATTGCCCTCGGATGGCAGGATGGGATCGCTGCCGACTGGAAGAAACGGCAGACTCCGACAAATTTTATACCGTATTATCGGCTCTGATTCATTGAAACAGAGATCCCTTTATCCGTTCAATTAATTACCATCGCAATGGAGATTCAGGAGAATTAAACGGTCGTACAAACTGCGATTCGGTAAATGGAATTTCCCAAATCCCCTTTGCGCGGCAAGAAATCCTGTTTCGCGCGACGCGAGACAAGATGGCCGACTGAGGGGACCAGAAGTCCGCGCGCGGCCGCTGTTGTTGATCCGGGCTCGCGCGGCGCTAGTAGTCACCTTGGTCCGGCATCGTAGCTAAGCAGTGACCGGAAACACGAGCGTAGAAGTTAACAGTGCGGTATAAACGAAATACGTTACCCGATATATTTCATTTAATTTACAGTCGTGTTTAAATTATCGACTAAGTGGCTCGTGGCGAATTTTATTGTCCCCGTAATTGCAGTCGGAGGACAGAATAAAATTTACTAATCGCGTGGACAATATTTTAGAACGGGAATCGTAATATTCGATCATATTTTAAGAGCAGTAGAAATTGGAAATATTTTTCTTTCCTGTTTCACCCCTGTTATGTGCCATGTTCCTCGCTGCTCTATATATAATACCGTAAAAACCACTTGCTCTAGATTACCTTGGTTCGATATTATCGCGATGCTCACCTGGTCACTGCGTTCTACGTTGGCATTCCTAATTAACCCGAATTGACGGAGTTTTGTCCAACGAACGAATGCCAACGCGATAATCCGCGGCCCTCCTTTAACCATTAACCACCTCTGTTCCCGATTAGCTTGGATTAACAAGGCTTCATCGTGGTTGGAAGGGATCGCACACCTGTGAGCGATATCCGGTATCGGGCCTATATATCGAGGTACTAATATAAACGTCAGACACCAGGATTCGTGGACATTTTTCCCGGTGTTTCCTTACCGTGCCATTGAGCCTGGTATAGCCGCATAAAACTGTGCACGCGAAACGTACGAGTTTTTAATATCCGGCCTGGTAGATCGGTAACGACACCCTGTGACGTACCGGAGAGGGATGCTGGTGGGACGAAGTGAAATCTGTGCGCGGAGAACGAAGAGCTCGAGATATTTTATTTTATTTTTTTTTCAAGTTTCCTGTAAGTACAGACACGGAAGATGTCTGGTGCTTCCGATAAAGTCTCGAAGGTGGAAGAAGAAGATAATTTATTCTCCGGAAAAAAGGTAGAAATAGAAGGACGAGAGTACTCGTCCAGGAAGCTTCGCTCATCTATCAAGTCCAGCGTTTCTTGTTTCTGACGCGATAGCAGTTTCAGCAGCGTATATAAAAATATTCTACAAGCGGAAGATAAAAAAACATCGGAACGAGGGAAAGAACGTTGGAGAGAATACAGAAATCTGTTTAAAATTGAAAATCGACGTAGAATAGCTCGGTAAAGGTTTTTCGCTTCTGTAGATACCGGATATTCGTTCGGGAAATCGACGCTGGCGGCGCTAGTCTCGCTCGCGGGCACCAAGATGGCGCGTCCGTGGTTCAATTATTTCATTCCGCGAGTGTATACGCCCAGTATGTACTTGATCTTTCTTACTCGCGTTTTCTTATCACTCCATCGTCCGGAATACTTTTCTCATTTATCAAATCCATCGTTTCCTATTTCTCGCGTGACAGCAGTTTAAGGTGTGTACGCGAAGATATTCCACGGCGAGAAAATGAAAGGATTAAAGCAACGAAGAAAAGAACATCCTCGAGGGAATAGAAGTCTGTTTAAAAATGTAAACGAAGTAGAATAGCTCGAGTCGAGACGCTTCTTCCACGCGCATACCGAATATACGTTCGAGAAGTCGCCGCTAGTGGCGCTAGTGGCGGTACAAGATGGCGCGCCGATAGATCAATTATTTTATTCCACCGTACGAGTGCGTGTCCAGCATGCACTTACGTAGTTTGATCTTTCAACTGCTACTCGCGTCTTTTTATCACTGCACGGGGTTTTTAGCGGAGAGGAACACGAACGACGATAAAGAGAGAATTTTTACGAGGCCACCAGTCGGGTGTACTCCATGATTACCATTGTTATTGGGTTGTTGTCGCGCTTGCACGTGTAATAAACCGCGGATACTTTAGGTAGCAACGCGTGAAAAGCGATTTTTATTGTTAAATATCTCGTAAACTATGCAAAGGCTATAGAAACCTGACGCGAATCGAACATTTTTCGCTTTTATACCTGCGTATCAAGTTTTATCACGATCACCGGTATATCGTCTGCTACCCAGCTCATCTGGCCCGGGAATTATCCAAGCACGACGAGAAAGATGCTACGAGATGCTCGTGGATCGATCATGCAGGTCGTCTGTGACGTTACGAATGATCGGTGAACCGGACTACAAGCGTTCCGTTCATTTTCATAGAAGTCCACGAGATCCCTTCAGATTTCACAGGCTGCTGGCTCCATCGTGGCTCACGCATGCATTATTACAAGACGCCATTGCCAAATATGCCAGCAACGCGTACCGGCCAAAGGTACATACCAGGCTGTGCACACGGTGTCCTCCGTGCACACGGATGCCTGGAAAATCCACGTCGACACGGGATTTGCCGTGGATAATGCCGCCCAGCCTTGACTCGTTCGGGCTGACACGTTGTTTTCCCGCAATTTCTTACCAGACAATAACGCCGCAGGTCCGCCGGCTATTTCTTACGCACACCTATTGAAATATCTCCGCCAGAAAACCTGGCGACGCCAGTTGCTGACCTACATCTTCTTTCAAATGAATCCCGTGGAAGCTGCCGGACGACCGTCATCAGCGTGAGACAATTCAGAACTTGGGTCGGAGGCACCGCGTGTTTGAACAAATAAGCACTGGGATTGCTGTTATTTTGGAAATGAATATTCGCGATGTTTATCGCTGGTAGGTGATTCCGGAGTCGCGGAGACGCGTTAGGGGGCTAAGTACCCGAGATTAGGTGCGATCAGGGCTGTAGGAGGACGTGACCGAGTGCGTCCTGGGGGAGCGTGCATAATTTACATGTGGATCTGGATCTGGATCTGGATCTGAACCTGATGAAAAAGACTGTCAAATAAATAGAGACTATGCGCTTGCTGGAATAAGCTATATATCGTCAGAAGATGCACACGAGCTAACTGTCAAATAGAATCGAGAGTGAGATCTATATTTTGTCCGGTTATAGTTTCATATCAGAGGGAATATTTATCGCTGGAATTAGCACTAGACGTGTCATGAATAACTAAACACAGCATTTGAAGGTGATAATAGAAGCAGCATGGTAAAGAGAAATAGGTATATAATCTCGGCACTACTAGACAAAGCTGGACGCTAATCCTCTTACTCCTCTTTTGGTATTTCTCGAAACAAACCGGTTTTCCGATTATTGCAATTACACAGTCTGATCCTTGTCATAGTCTTAATTTAATTATTCGGCTTGCACGAGCTCTCTGACAAAAGGATTTGGTCAGATTTTGATAGATGGACTCTCCCATCCAGAGGAAGCTCCCGAATTGCAAATTTCGATTAATTTTGGAAAGGGAATACATGAAATTTATTTACAGGTATGACTAGAAAATAGTCTCGCGATCCTATGTCCCTAAAAACTTGCGGATGACGAGTGAAATCCCTAAGGTATTCAGACAGGGGGACTCTAGACAGAGGCTGGGGCTAAGATCGACGCAAAAAGGCCCAAGAATAAACTTGCTTGCGAGTAGAAGAGGTAAGAGTATACCTCAGTGAAGAGAAGCAGTTAATAGACGACGGTGCAATTCATCCTGCTCGTCACCCTCTGGTAGCTGCGAGCTCGGGGATGGGATGCTGACTTTGAGGTATAGGCGCAAGCCAGGGTGCTCGTGGGAGCTTCGACCCGAGCGCTACGTTAACCGTTATTATCATAATTTAAATACGACGCGTGTATTCCAGTAGCAATATGGGTTAACGTGTATAATCTACAATCGAAACTCATACGTGCTCGAATATCCACGGTTTCGGAGCTAATATCTCGCGATGTTGCTTCGCAAACAATGTGCCAAGATTCAAGCCTGCAGTTATAATTGTCGACAAAAATCGTCGATATTCTTTAACGACGAATAAATAAGATAGCGAAACTCTGGTATTAAAAATTATTATGGTTTCCTTGAAAAAAATTCCTAAAGGAGTCCCTTTTGACCCGTATTACTATAAGACCTCCTTGACCCGTCTATATATATTTTTATATAATTCCTGCAATTTTCATTATCTGGCAGTAAAAAAAATGGTAAGTATTCTCCAAACATGAGCAAATAAAAGAGCGAAACCCGTGTGTCAATAACCCTTACGGTTTTTGCCAAATAAATTCCCAAATAGGTCCTTTTTGATCCCGATTGGTAAAAGACACCCCCTAGAACCAGCCTATATATATTATTACATAACTTCCAAAATTTTCGCTGTTTTGCACCGAAAAAAATTCAGAATGTTCTCCGAGCATGACTAAATAAACCCGGGAAACTCTCGTATTAAAAAGTCTAGTAGTCTATTAGAAAAAAATTCCCAAGAAAGTCCCCGTGATCCAAATCGGTAGAGGCTGTCGAGAGCGTGGAAAGCTAATTCCTAGATCTGCTAAAACGCTGGAAACGCGGCGAAATGAACATTCGAAGCGCGGAGAAGCTCGATAAGCGACGAAGAGTCGGGAATCTTCTTTTTTCCTATCCAAAGCTGTACACAGGCAGCGCGGTGCGTCACTGGGCTTTTTCGAGGATCGTCTCGTCACCAGCCCTGATTTTAACGAAGTCGTGCGCTGCATAATAGCCAGAGCGACGTTCAAAAAAACGCTGACATACCGATAGCCGTGTTAGCTTCTAATTTGCGTGGCACTCGCCGACTCGAACACGCCTCTTGTCCTCTCAGCGCCTCCATTTCCCTCTGTTCCCCATGCATGTCGTTCCTCCGTCAGCGTCGCATATTAATCGAGTACCGCAGTAACGCGGGTATAATCGATGGAAGAAACGCGACGAGACCGTGAAACCGGTTTCCACGACGTGGAAAACCGAATAAATCGATGAAAATTCGCGTCGGGGCTTTCGGCAAGTCGGAAATATCCTTTGACCCCCTTAACTCACCCCCGCTGCACGCGCAGTTGTGCGCACTTTGGTAATAGGCTATAGATCAATAGTCGCTTCGAGAACTCGAAGACCGCTATCTCGAAACTTTTCGCATCCGACTATAGTCATCCCCAAAAGCACACCCTTCACAACGTAGTCGATAATAGATTCAGAATTATGTAATTATGTCACAGACGCAACACTGCCATTTCTAATCAATATATCCG